GTGTGGGTTTTGCGCGCAGGCACTCGAGGCAGGGGAACTGGTTAGGTGAGTACATTGAATGGTTACGTAACGTAGATCCTTTGAGAGTTGCCTAGGCCACGTAAGGGAAAGGGGAGGGAGTGATGGCTTGAAAGGAGAAAAGCAAGAAAAAAGTGCAAGCAAAAAATAAAGTAAAAGCAAGAAAAGTAGGCGAAAAATCCGCCATCAATAGGGGGCATCCCCACCTATAAAGCTGATGCTTAGGTAAAGAAAGCTGAAAGCGAATAATGTGAAGCTTTACCTAAGCATCAGCTTCGTAAATGGTGAAGTCCTTCGCTGATAACGATTTTTTTGCTTGCTTAAAGCTTCTGTACTTATGAAACTGTTGCTTAGGCAAATCTTCTGTATTTATGAAGCTGATGCTTAGGTAAAGCAGGGAGCTCTATTTACCTAAGCGTTAGCTTTACAGATGGGGATGTCCACTATAGATAGCGGAGCTTTTTTTGCTTTTACTTTCTTTCTTGCTTATGCTTTTTTCTTGCTCCCATCCTTTCCAGCCATCACTCCTCTCCTCTCCCTTATGTGGCCTAGGCAATAGCCAAAGGATCTACGTCACGTAGCCAATCAGTGTACACACCCAACCCGCTCCGCCATCACACGGTCTAAAAGTCAGTTGACAAATCATTCAGCTGCCGAGCCATTCCGAGCGAGAGCTTTAGTAGTTGCCAGTAAAATGGGATACCCACATTGACAACCCGGGCGGTTTTAGTTTCCCTTGAATATATTACTGCATAAAAAAGTAATTTTTTTTTTAGTCTGATGATCACAAAATGCATGCTTTTGCTTTGCTCGAGTTTCACTCATTTACAGGGCATGCTTTTGTTGCAATGCTTTGGACGAATAAAAACTAATTATTTGTCAAAGAGCATGCAAACGTTGTTTATTTCGTTCTTGATATTTTCTAAAACCCATTAGATTATTTGCAGGCAGAAACGGCAGCTCATCGTATAAGTCGGGTGCTGAAAGTGAATCAGGATAACGAAAAAATGATGGAAGATTATGAGAGCATGGCTAGCGATGTGAGTTATTCATTTATGTCTGCTTATATCCATTTACAGTTTCGTTTGAACAGAGCAACAAAGCCGAAAGTAACAAAGCTTAATTGGTATACTTTTTGAAGATTATTCACATTATGGATAGTCGATTATTTAGCTTTTGGACTGGATACGTCGCTGGATGCCATGGCTATCGAACAGATCGTCGACAGAATCACTGGATGCAATACGCAAGAAGCTGGATGACTTCAGGAATTATCGTCGCCGCGAAAAACCACCAAGGGTGGAGGAAAAAGGAAATTTGGAAACGCTCTTCAATACATTGCAAACGAGACTTCGTCTTAGCAACCGTCCGGCTTTCTTGCCAAAGGAGGGACACCTCATTAAGGTCGGACAACGAAATTAATTTTTTATTTTTTGAGTCGAAAAATAACAACATTTAAAGACGAGGGGTAAGTGACACTTCAGGTGCATCCTTTTTTTTTGTTTACAGGATATCAACGCTGCTTGGCGTGGCCTGGAAGATTCCGAGAAAGGCTTCGAGGAATGGCTTTTAAGCGAAATGATGAGGTGCTGTTTGTTTCTGTTTTACAAGCTATATTACACTGGCCCGCGCTAAATTAAATTCAAATTTTGTTGCGAATCTTTTCCTAAATCATTATATATGCATACAACTGCAGACTGGAAAGACTGGAGCATCTTGCCGAGAAATTCCGTCGCAAGTGCGCGCTTTATGAAGAATGGGCGTACGGCAAAGAAGACGCCTTACGGTCAGCAGACTGGCGCTCCTGCGGGCTCTACAAAATCAAAGTACTGTAACGTAGCTTACATCATAGAATTAGCGACCTTCTCAACGAAATTTTTCGACTAGTTCTCCTGTACCATTGCCCATAATATTGTAAATAATTATTTTGAAGGCACTTCGCAAGCGCCATGAGGCATTCGAGAGCGATCTGGGAGCGCATCAGGACAGAGTGGAACAAATTGCTGCAATCGCTCGTGAGCTAAACAATTTGAGATATCCGGATATCGGTCCAATTAATGCAAGATGCCAGGTATTCCTGTTCCCGTGTTTTCGTGACTAGTTTGGAAATTAAATTCTTTCCCAGGTTTTCCTTAACAGAAAAATCTTGGATTTGAAAGCACAATGGATAATTATTGTAACAAAGCACGGCTCTATTTTAGGCGGTTTGCGACCAGTGGGACCGTCTCGGAAGTCTTTCTCAGCAGCGGCGCAGACAACTGGAAGAAGCAGAGCAAGTGGCAGAACGCCTTGACAGGCTGTATCTCGATTTCGCTAAGCGTGCCGCTCCATTCAATAACTGGTAAGTGCAGGCGTAGCTTTGCAAGATAATATCTGTCCGA